TGTTTTTTTCACGCTTCGTTGCTTTGGTGGAGCCGCTGTGGCTGTCTGCGCCGCTCTCGCCTGCTTGGCTGCAGCGGGCAGGTGCGCTTTCCACTCGTCGCTCGGAGAGGGCGGTTACGCTCTTTCAGCAGCAGGCACTTCGTTTCATTGGTAATTTAAGCGTTCGTTCTCTCTCCAGCTGTACGTGTCTGAAACGCACTGGGCTCTTCAGGGATACGCAGTCCTACAGGACACTTAGAAACTTTGTGATGGGTATAGAAATATAAGGTCGGCTGCAATCCCTGTCCGCCTCCCCCTCTCTGTGTCTTTGTGCTGCCCTTGGATCTTGGCAGGCGTGCCCAAGAACGTGGTAAGGCTACGCTTCGGTGAAGCTGCAGTACTCGCCCTCTTCTGTATCATCTACCTGCAATTAAATTTTGTTTATGTTTCTGCCACCCTATGCTCTGCCCTTTCCAGCTATGTACACGAGAGCTGCAGACCCCTACCTGCTGCTTGAGGATAACGTAGTACCTGAGAAACGTTAGCTAAGATGGGAGCAGCTTAAGGCGAGCTCTGGTACGGTAACGTGATGCCCAGAGCACCCGTAAAGGGGGGGGGGCGGATCGGGGGACCTTTCCTTCTTTTCTTTCTAGCTGGTCCCTGCAAGAGGGTTAAAGAGAGCAAGGTATGGCACAGTCTGTTTTCACTCCTGCCTTCTTACCCGGTGGGACAGCCCCTCTCCCTTGCCCTCGTGTCCCGTCTCCCAAGGGGCAGCCACCCTTGCGCTGAGTCTCCGTGGGCATCTAGCTTCACCCAGCTGGGAACTAGAGTTTTCCGCTGTTTTTTCCAGAGGACGGATACCCTCGCATACGCGCTGGCGTACGTGCCTGCGCCGTCTGCTAGTAGTGCTCTTTGAGATCTGCCGAGCTTTGTTTGTGGACTTTGTAAGCGTGGTGTGACACAACGCACAGAGCAAGGTGTTGCTCTGCCTGTACCCCTGCGTGTGCCCCTTTTCGAGAGCACTTTCACAGCGCTTTTTATAGTAACGCAAGCGTTAGCCTTAGTGTCTTGCCCCATCCCAATTTGGACAGTATATTTTGCAGCTTGGTTGGAGCCACTGTTCCTCGTTCCTATTCTCAAACTGTGAGTCAGTTTTGTAGCAGGTTACTCAACAGGTGATAAATTTTATGGGGGATGACTACAAATTAATTGCAGCTGAGGAGAAGAAAGAGGTTAATATGCTTCTCACTTTCTGTTTATCCAGCTGCCTGTATAATTGCTTTACATGTTTTCAAAGAAAAATCATAGGCTGTGTGCCACCAATGTAGTTATTTCGTATTACAATTTTGTGTCCAATTTAATGTATATAATACTGCATTATGTTAGGGAGGAGCTGTTAATTGCCTCTCTATTTGCCAAATGCTTTGCATTATTATAAAGAATTCTTTCATTCTGTTTCCTGATACATCCTCAAACCAGTGGCATTAGCTGCAAGACTTTGGTATTTGCCAGAGAAAATGACCTGCGGCTACAAATGTGACTTTTCTTTGCAGTGAGTGTTCTTTATTCTCACAAAATTCTTCCGGTTTTTACTGAGCTGTATCTTGTCAAAAACGGTCATTTCCCTTTCCCCAGGGAGAGCAAAGCTTTCTTTCTAATCTCCAGAAAATTTTTGACTCCTTACTAATAATTCTTGAACTGAGATGGATGTAGCAAAATCAAGTAGCCAGGAGTAAGGACATACCAGACTTGCATACTCCTGACAGCCTGATTTTTGTAAGGTAATGAATTACTGGTTACGCTTATTTCTTTGGGAGTTCGATGTGTTGAATGATGACCCACGGGGATGAGAAATTCCAGTCTTACTTTGAGTCCAACAGCATTAGTCCCTTTGTTGTTTAAAGGGTAGCACAGCTCAAGGAGTTCTCCAGGTACTTTTTCTTCTTGGGGCCAGGGCCAGAAAAAGTCAGCTGAGAGAGAAGAGCAGCAGTTCGGGTTTTCTGATTCGTTGGCAATTGCAGACCGAATCTTAATAGGGTATAAAGAAGTGAAATCCCACTAACTTTGCATGCAAATGAATTCACGCATCTGCTTTGGATTTGTGAAAGACAGTGGTGGATAACCTTGTCATTAGCTGTGACAGGAGATGGCTTTGATCCAGACGGTTAGCTATCTGCTCTCGGCTGCAAGGACAGTACCTTTATGTTGCCTTAACAACAGAAAAGAGTGATGTTACTGATGTAACAGGACTGAGGGAAAAGGAGAGAAAGAGGCAGAAGTTAATCACTTTTTATTCGCAGTTTTATCCACTAACTAGATGTATGACCAAATCAGATGTTCCAACAACAACAACAAATTGCAATAGATATTTACCTTTCATGGAACTCTTAAAATGTTGGTGCTTCTCTTGTGCAACGGTGAGGCTCTATCGAGCGCTAAGAGAGAAGGTTGAAGAGCGTTTCTATTTACAGTGTTTTGAAATATCTCTCCGATGTTCCGCTCTTTCCATTTTCTTTTCATCCCATAAAGTTTTAATTCTTGTTTATATCGTTGTTTGTTGTCATGGAAATTTCTGAAAGGTTTGAATGTAGAATGATTATGCTTTTATTGTGGAGAGATGAAGAAAGTGGAAAACAGACTTCAAGGGAGAGATCTCCCATGTAAAAATGATGCATCTCCAACAATTCGCAGAACAGCAAATACAGTTATTTGATTATATCCAGGGGCAGAAGATGTTTTGACTTTTATTATAAATGTTGTATTTTAAGAACGGAAGGCAGCATCTGGTGTATGCTTTCAAAGGTTACAGTTCAGTAAGTGTCACAAGTGAACACTGCTGATGAAACCGTGGTAGTCTAACTATCTATAAAACAGAATGTGCTCAAATCACATTGCAGTTGTTTATACAGAAGTAAATATCTGCAAGCAGACTTCAAAGTAGTGTTAGTTAATTAATTGGCAAAGCTTTGCTCTAACACCGCTAATTCAGAGAGGCATCCATCTTAGATTTACCTTTTCACCCTGTTTCAGTCTGTTATACTTCTCGGTTGCACCATTGTATTCACGTCTCTCTTTGTTACTTGTACATTAAGCAGAGAGAGAACGTGGTTCGTTGCTCACAGATAGGTTTGCTCTCAGTTAAAAGTACACAGTTTATGAAATAATTTATAGCATGAGAGTAGTAGAAGGCTTATTCTGCATTTTTTGAATGTCTTTGGACATTCTTGCTAAGTAAGAAAGATCTGCAGTTTCAGACTTAATGTCACCCTGACTTTGGTTCTGGAGGCAGCAGGCAGCTTTCCAGTGATTCACCGAACAATGAACTTTATAACAGAGTTATAAAGAGTTGCACTGACAAGGGACGGAGGTGTTCTCCTGGCTTGCATGTATTTATTAGTATTCCTTATGATTTGAGTTGTGCTAGTGCCAGAATATGCTGGGTGGGATTGGATTTTTGATACTTCTGTCTCCGATGTTAATTGGGAAGCGTTAATTTGGCTGAATTCGCCAGCAAATCTGCAGTTCATCCGCTTTGTCTTCACCCTGTAGTTGTATGGGATAAATATGGATGACTCAATACAAATTGAGAATAATATGAGAGCTGCAGAAGTCATATCAGACAAGACTAAAAGGATCTTAAAGAGGATTTTGTGTCTCTTGTGTTCAGATTGTTGGTTTCTAAAAGGCAGTTTGAACAACTTTGGATTCCCTAATGTCTGCTAATGCTCTAAGCGTTAGCTGCATCATGTGTTTGATGCGAAAGGATTATGTGCGCCAAAGAAAAGGAGTTTGATTTTTATTAGTTAACTGTGATAGAACAGCCCATAAAAACGGGAAACTGCCTAAACAATGGGTTTCTGCCCGAAGCCGCAGCTCCGTCCGACTGCCCGTGAGCAGTCTGACAGCCTTCCTGCCATGGCCCGCTGTCCCAGCTTGATGTCACCCCCACAAGCTTTCAGAAGAAATTAGTGGGAATGTCTATATAGCTTCTGATTACAAACGTCTCGGGAAACAGACTGGTACTACAAGGCAGCCGTGTTGCAGCAGTCAAGCAATTTAACTACGGTGCCCTGTTATCACAGGACAACGTATGATTTTTAATATGCAACGTAGCATACAATTTCAGTCTTCCAGTATGAAGGAATGGAGAAAAGCTCTAGAGAACAGCGTTATGGGTAATTCTCATGGAAAGGTTATAAACTTCTGCGCAACAATATAGTAAAAAAGCCCTCCCAACTTAGGAAAAATTGGGTCAGACCTGAAGATCATCCAAATCTGTCTGCTATTTTCAGGGAAGGGAGCAAGATACATTGGCAGGATGAATGCGAATCTTGTCTCAGCAGGCTTTTTTTCCCTGTTACGTTGATCCTTACATTCATTCTTTCTTAAACCCTAACGTTTAGATGTCAGCTGAAACCTGAACAAGTGACTCTCAAAATCTCAGTTTCTGGATCAGGCTTTTTAGCTAGTGTACAGCAAAATACATCCCTGATCCTGTTTGGGCAAGTGAACACTGCTGTAATACAAACAATAATAATGATGTTTACAAAGAGAAGCAAAAAATAGACATCTGTTTCTATAAAGTAATGAAAGGTACAATAAAAGCAAAGTTGGCTGACATGCCCTCTTTCCCATAGAAACACCAGAAAAGAGACCCCCTCTGCTGAAATAAAAGCACTCTGTGAAAGGAACATTTTTTAAAATAAAATAAAATAAAATATTAAAAAAAAAAACTGGGCATCCCTGCAGTTTTGGGCTGCTGTCCTGGGGGCCGGTTCCCACGGGTGCGGAGAGCCACACACACGAACCTACTCATCTGCTTGCCAAGGCTTGAGACGTGCCCAGCTATTCCAAATAAAGCCTAATGCAAGCACAGGGGTAAATGTGTTTAGATTGTGTGTCCGTTAGGGAGGCAGCCGTCCCTTTGTTGGACATATGTATGTGCAGTGCTTAAACCAGCAACGCGGGACCTCCAGTTCACCGTCCCTGTGAATTCAATATATCCTCTGCTACAGTTCGGTAATGGTAAGGATGAGGCGTTTCCATACTAAATAGATTTTCCAGTGCTTGAATTATTACCGAAGCCTAGAAACCTGAGAAAAACCTCAAGGGAAGTGTTCAACGTTTTGTAGTCTCTGGTCGTGAAATCATTTTCAGCATCTTCTTCGGTGGCCCGCTTCCAGACGCTGCTCACCAGCTGGGGTCAGGAAGTCAGTTGTACATGAGATAACAGCACACGAGTGCTTCTGTTATGCCCTTTGCATCGCAACCAGTACAGTCTCCCTTGTGGCATTCAATGAGTTATACCTGATACCAACCAGTTGTCAGAGGAAAGATTTCAGATTGGGTTGTTGTTACGGGAGCCACAGAATGAGACCAATAATCACTGCAAGACTAAATAATTATTTACTAAAAATGTTTTATATAAAATATATGTAAAAAAATTTGTACAAATTTGTATGTTACTGCAACCTACACCCACAAATAAAAATTTGCTACATTTACCATTTGGCGTACAGAAGTGAGATGAAAAGGATGATTCAGGGTGCAAATCTACCAACGGAAGTTGATCCATCTTTCCATTCATCTTCAAATGTGCCCTGTCTGATACTGCTTTATAGTCTCTCCCCAGGACAATGTCTGGCAAGCATGGCTTTGGATTATTCAGAAATAAAATGCAATTATTCAGTATGTTCCCAGTTGGGCTATGGTCTGCACGCAGAGACCAAGACTATGTATATTTAGATAAGAAAGAAGATAATGCCCGGAAGCATTTCCTAAACAAGTTGGCATGATATTATATATTGGGAGTTGGAAGAGTGACATGGAGTAAAAAAAAAAGCTGTGTGTAATAGACAGTTTGTCTTAATGTCAGCTCTCAGTTTGTGTAGTTTCCCATATTTCCACAGTTTCCTTCCAGTCCTTTTTAGCAGAGCACGACTGCTGGGTTATGTAAATCATTTGTTAGCCATATGGAGGGTTCTCATTCTAAGCTGCCACAATAAATCTGATTTTTTTTTTCACAGTTCAAATGTTTTTCTTTCAAATAAGCACTTAAAATAACTTCTTAATTTTTTTAACCATTTTAACTTCTTAATAGACTGAGTTGCCAGAAAGTTTGATAAAATGAGTCAATCCTAGGCTTAGATAAAAAGCCTGGGCTGTTTGTAAAGATAAGCAGCTGCCAAAGTCTTTTCACCAATATAGCAGGCATTTGGGTATGTAGGGAATGGTTTTGTACTACCTAGCTTTTCGTATTGGGAAGACCATTTCTGAATTAAGTACAGAAGAAAACTGGACAAAACTTTTGTCAAAATATTTCCAGTTCTGTGCTGAAGTAGATGATTTGAGAATGAGCCGAATCAAAGTATTCATTCCAGTAAACGATGGAGAAATTCACATATCTGATTACCACTGAAAGCAGCAAAATTCAACTCTGTGGTAAAACAGCAAACACAGGTTGGAATCATAACCTTAGGTGGACGCCAGTGCGCGTTTCTTCGCTCTACCCTGTGAAGAAAAAGGTATTTCTGAAGTCCCTCTCTTGCTGCTCATACACAGGTGTTTAAGTGAACAACCAAGGTAACTGCTTTTCTGGGTGACAAAATAAGTGGTTGTGTCGGTTTGTTTCCTCTCGTTGAGAAAGCAGGTAGTACGATGAATGAGGCACGTGTTTACTCCCGAGGCCAATATGCAAGGGCTGTACAGTGATTTGTTAATTAGCATAATTTGAAGGTTCCCAAGGCAACCTTAATATATTAAAAGACAGACTACCAGATTTTCCTCCTGGCATCGTTCTGTTGACTTCAAGTAACGATGGCAGAGCAGCTCTCTTCCTTCCTCCCTAGTTTTTTTCACTTTCACCTTCTTCTCCTCATTGTTTTCTCTCAACCTGGTCAAAACGCACGCACAGTGCAATGTGGCACAGCTCCACTGACGCTGTTGTGGAGGTGCTGATTTATGCTAGGTGATTTATTCTGTAGCTCTGGCTCACACAGCTTAAACTAGCAAATTTTTTTTATACATACATATATATATATATATATATACAAAATAGTCCTAGTCATGCAGTTAACAAATGCAATGGCCAGTGTAAGTTTAAAAAAAGTTACAAAAAATGTCCACCCTTTCCTGCAAACAAAACAAAAATTGAAACGGCATTGCCTAAATTGTAGCTCGTGTTTAAGTACAGATAGCTTTGTACGTTTTCCTTGAAATACTAGTCATCAGGGTGCGTTATTCTGCGTGGCTTCCTACCAGGACTAGGCCAGTCCACGTAAACGTGGAAGAACCATGTCATGCTCAATTTGTGGCAAATGCCTAATACAAGTCAACGTTTGAAGGAAAACACCTTCTTCTGGGTCACGCACTTGCTGTCAGCAAGAGTAGCAGCAATTGTGTTACTGAACTTATTGCCAGCCTGGTGAAATCTCTGCAGTACATCAATTAAGTAAATAGGCACTATCATAATGTGCTGTGATCTTAAAATATTGACTGATTTCAAAACCTCTTCTGTGCCATTTCAGCAGCTGTTTTCTTTTTTTAATGTTCAATATACTGATTAAGATTGATTCGTGTTTATTCAAGCCTTGATCCTGAAAAATGCTTAAGCGCGTATTTAGGTTCAAGCACGAACATATCCCCTTTTAGTCAGACTGTTTATGTGCTTAAAATTAATTAGGCGCTTAAGTGCTTTGTTAGATTAGGTGAAGATGTGTCTTTTGAATTGCCGATGGCCTTTCACTCTTGTAAAACTGAGATTCAAATACAAGCTAAGTCCTTCCAGAGCAATTCCACTGGCATCCAGTACTTGTGAAGGCTCCTTAGAAGAGCTGAGATATTCAAGACAGAGTCCAAATGCAGACCACAAGTACAATTTGATTTCCAGTCTCAACCTGAAGTAACTGGACTCGGAGCAGCCCCTGCACAGCTCTGCTTATCCGGTGTCCAGAGTGCCACAGCTGAGCTGGTTGGGGACATTTCGGCGGCGATGCTGGGAGAGCGCTTACCTGCGTGTGCGTGGGCTGACTCTCGCCCAAGGTATCGCCTGGGACGTGTCAAACCCTTGCTCTTCCCAAAGCCTGCTGGGAAGCGAGACGTGGCGTTTGCTCCTGCAAATGTGCAGCTGCAACCATCTGCCGTTCCTCCTTATCAGCTCATCGGAGGATATTTCAGCACGGTCAGACCTTTTCCACTGAGGGAGCTGAGAATGGGGAGTCTGGTATTGTCAATACTGTTTGCTTTTTACCCCCGATTTTACAGAATTTTAAGCTGGTCCTAACTATGCAAACACTTTCCTTTGGAGCATGGTTTTAGCCTTTTAGCTGATCAAAAAGGCTCCAAAAAAACTTGCTTCTTTGTCCATGTCAACTATATCGCCATTGCTGACAGAGACAAAAATCCTGTCGTCCCTTTTCAGCTGGAAAACGCCACCTTGGTAGATGGAGTAAAGTCCATACTCTGCCTTTTTAGACCAACAGCTTGTTCTTGCACTTTTCATGAGCAAAATTGGCTCTGGATAATTAGTCAGTTTGTAAACATATTGGACCAGCTGTTTAGGGTTTCTGATTTGTGCCAGTAAATCTGAGTCCTCGTTCTCGTTCTCACGGAAACGAAAATAAGTTTGCGAGTAGATGTAATAAAAGCCTGTTTTGGGTATCACTAGCTCTCCGTTTCTCAGCTCCACATTGTAAAGGAAAGAATGGCCTTTCCTTGAGGATTCCCAGCTGCTTATTTTTTGGCCACTGCCTCTTCTGGGTGAGGAATCTGTTTGAGAAAAAAGAGAGAAGATGTGAAGTTAAAAGGCTGTATGCAGTTAAGTCTGGTGTCTGCTAGTCTGGCAGTCAGTTTTTCAAAAAAGAAGTAAGGAAACTGGCTGTTCCCCTTGGTTTCAAAAGGCAGTTCAGTAGGCCCACTCTGTCAAAATAATCTGAAGGTCCATAAATAAGCTGTTTTAGCACTATGTGGGAAGTCACTGTTTTTATTTATACTTTCTGCCCTCCCAAATAAGCGCACATCCTCATGCAGGTACTTAGTAACATAGTTGAAATAGCCATTTGTGGCTGGGAACCTCCGAAGATGTAGAAACCCCACCAAGCCGTTCATTAATACGGCTTGAATGTCAAATCTTCCCTGCCTATGTCTTGCATTTCTAATAGGTCTGTCGCCATAGCAGCTGGGACTCGATACAGCTAACAGAAGGAAATTAAAGGAAAGCAAAGCGGAAAGCTTAACGTTAGGAAGAGGCGTTTCATTTATTGTTGGTTTGTAAATGAAGGTGCCGGGAAGAAAAGTTAGTGAGGAATCCAGAGTGAGCAGCGTTTCTCCCCACGCTACAAGAATGAGCTGGAAAAAAAAAGAAAACCGTTCTGCCCAGGACAAGAGGGCACTTTTAGGATTGGTTTCTTATTGCTCGCAGAAGCGGATGCAAGCATCAAACGAGCAAAGCGGGCAGAAATGCCGTGACCTTTAACTGTTTTTAAGCAGGTTTTTCCTTACTGTGTGGGGATAAAGAATTCTTCCTGTTGCTGTTCCCCGTTAGGTGAGCTGCTATTCGGTACGCCGGATTCTGGGGCGGCTGCTCGCTGGTGCTCGAAAACGTTAGGGCTCTTTCCGCTAAACGAAGATGAGAGACAGAATCCCGCGTTAGGCTCAGCGATGTCAGAAAGCGCCTGACGCCTTGCAAATGTGCCCGTCTCACCTGACCTTATTTTAGGGAATATGTGTTTTTTTTAGTCTGTTGAAGCACAGGCTAGACGGTATTGGCTGATAAGGCTCAAACTTCTCTTTCGCTCTTGCTCCCTTCGAAATGTCTTTATGTGCCTCTTTGTTCTCCTTTTTCCTTCTCCCCTCCCCAAATCACCGATGGACAAGAACTTAAAATAACCCCTTTTGTAACGATTCTGCACGCTCCCGATGAGTAATCTTTGAAGTACTCATGGTCTTGACTCAGAACTTAGGCTTTCAGGTCATAATGCTGCCTGCTAAAAGCGTTCAAAGCTGTATGAGCGTCAGCACCCCTGAATCGCCGCGCGCGCCGGCAGCTCGGGGCCCTGCGCTCCCGCCGGCGCAGGCAGTTGCAGCGCTCCCGCAGTGCTCCTGGGCTGAGGTCTCGGTCCCGGATCCATCGAGCACCTTGCTCTAACCACGTGACCGTAACTCTGGCTCCTGAAAAAACTGCCTTCTAGGAATACGTAATCCTTTTCCTGTGACTTGCTGCGGAAGAATTGTGTAACGGGGCAACGTTTCAGTCGCTGTTTTTTGTGCGCTTTTAAAAAAATTGCCTGAATCGCTACACATCAGACCCCATTAGCAGCCTCTTTTTGCTGCAGTTAATAAAATTACTGTAATACCGTTCACTGCAGATGTGTTTTCCTCATAGCTTCTTGACATCATCTGCCAACAAACACGGAGAAAAATAATTAGTTTGTCAGCGGCAGGCAATAGATGCAGGAAATAGACACTCGTTTCTCAAACTCATGAATAAATGGCATGATGAATTTGACCATTAGGCAAATCAAAGAAGCCTGTGTCATTAATTTGTTGGAATAAAGTATTTCTACATTTACATTTTTTTATGTAACTAAACGTCTTGGAAAAAACATTTTCAAGAGAGCCCAGCCATCTGAGCTGCTGCTCCTTTTGAAAACGTGACCCTCATGCTCTTCTTCAATAAGAAGAGATACAGTGTACAAGCATCCATTTCCATTCCCAGGATAATACTTTGCAGTGCTCTACTTCCATGGGATTTTAGCTCTGGGAAATTAAATTAAATTTATCTTTATATCTCTTATCTATCTGTAGTTTTTAAGCCAGCATATCTTACTTCCTACATTTCCCTTTTTTAATAACTGTTTGCTGATGGCTTTTAAATGCCTCTTACTACAGGCAGGACAGCTGTGGCACGCATGCTCTTGAGATGATTTACCTTGCTGATGAACACGGCCCTGATAGCGCGATTTATGGCTGCGTTCTGTCCTGCCACAGCTGGGCTATTTCTTGTACCTATGCTAGCTTTTTCTGAGCAATGAGGGAGCTGGTAGATATATTAGGTGTATATTAGACATGAGATACGTAAATGTCCACAAAGTAAAACAATGTTTTCTTCATGCAGAATTACAGGGACTTCGCTGGCAGAGCTTGCACTGAAGTAACTGAGATCTCTGAACGCATATTAAACTCAGCGTCTATTTTGGGATGCAAAATTTACAAGGTAAGTCTCAGCCTGAAGTGAATTTTTATGGATAAAGTTTTTTATGTGCTGGAGATGGGATATTTTAGAAGCGTTCCAGGAGGTTTTAGCCTTTTTGATTTTCAACCAGGCATATTTTCTTCCCTGTAGCTAGAATTATAGGTATTGCATGCAAATCTGGTAGAAGACTTGCTGAAGCGGGAAGTGTGCGGTGCCCGGCGCTGCGCTCTTGCTCGCGCGCCCTGTTCCCTTTAACATGTTACACAGCTCCTGGCGGGACCATCGCTCGGGCACCCACCTACTTCCCTTCCTGCTGTGTTTTATCTCATTTTCTCGTGACAGGGTATATTTTCGAACAGAGAGTGGCATTTCTCCTAGCTCTGTGACCATTTCGGTCAGGTAGAAAATGAACGTTGGTTTAAGTCAAATACAGCGCCTTTTTTTGGCTGCAAGGGCCAAAACGGGACCTTCTCTTGAAGGACCGTGAACAACACTTTTATCTCACAGTTGCCGTATTCTCTTTAACACCAGTGGACCTCCTAATGGTTTATTCTGGTCTGCGTAGGGGAATTTAGTCCCTTTACCTCCACCCTGTCTCATGAAGGAGGAGGGAGGTGCCTGGACACTTCCGTATGGAGATCTTTCAAGCAGATGTATACAAACCTATCACTTGGACCAGCTTAGTAAAACCTGTTTATCTTTGCTTTATCTCTTCCTGCAGGTAGTGAGACCGCTGTCCTGGGTTTTTTTTTCCCCCCCCCCTTGAGAAGGGTTTCGCTGCCAGCACAATTCCTCTAGAGCCGAAACTGTGGCTTAGCTGCTGCTCCGCAAGAAAGCGATCTGAGAGCCCAACCTCACTTTGCTATTTGGAACTTAGTTCTCTGAGCCTCAATGCCGTCAAGCCCCACTGTTCAATCAACGTGCAGGTTCCCAAATACCTTTTTAATTAACTTTCCCAGTTGCCACTTTACTTGCCAGCAGGGGTCAGCCTCTCTTTCTTCATTTTCGATTACGTCCAGGTTTTGTATGAAATTTCCAAGTTCTTCCCCGGTGAGACAAGCGATGCTGCTCTTTGAATATGTGTCCCGGAGCTGCGTTAGAGGGGAAAGCCAGAATTTTTCGCTTAGGGTGCGCTTGCAGACTTTCAGCTGTGGTACATCGCTAATTCACTATGCTTAGGAACACATTTGCTTTTCCTAGCAGTGCTTACTAGCATGGAGAAGTTATGACTGTACAGGCGGAGTGAGTAATTCATCCTGATTTTGCATCTTCATTTAATTACAATGAGATACCTAATAGGCAAAGAAACACTTAACACCATCTCCATGGACACAAATTTGGTACACGGCACTCCAACTAAATAAGCTTAGTGGAAAATTCAATACCTAAATCATAACCTTGTGAATTCTTTAGTTTCTCTGATTCTGCACTGAAATATCTCTTTTGCACAATGGATTTTTCTTTGCAAATTATTGAGGGTGGAATCAAATATCAGACCTTAAAACTATTTCCCATGCTGTCTTTTCAGAAAATGCCACTTCTGATCCGGGCTCTCTCTGGAACATATCCATACCAGTTTGGGGTAGCTCTGTAGCAATCTGCAACTGTATTTGACCTAATAGTCCAGAACAAAGTCCAGACAACAGAGGTGTTTGGGTTCAGATCAGATTAAAAAGCTGAATGCTTGTGACCTGGTCTGTGCCCTCTGGATAGAGGGAAAGCACCTTTTTTCCAACAGATAAAGAGAAAGGAGTTTGTAGAGTGGCAAAATTCCTGTTGACTTCGAGGGGATCTAACCAAAAGCATTTAAATCAGAGCGGAAAAGCTTTCCCAAGCTCTGCTGCACGCGCAGGGCTAGGCGATGCACACAACTCAAGCTGGCGCTGTTGTTTAATGTAAGAGCACATAAACTAAGCTGCCTCGGAGTAAACGCCAGCGGATTATGAACTCCTGTTTGCTTTCAACTCAGTGGTGCTGCATCAGCTATAAAGGCTGGTAAGACTTCTTATGCAAGCAAAGTACTACCCAAACTTTGGAAAACCAGCAATCAGCAGTGAACATGCAGAGCATTCCCACCGACTTCTTGTTTTCATATTTAAATGTCACTATTCTTGCGTTAAAAGAAGTTTGGCTCTGGTTTGCTATACATTAACTCAACATGTTCCAGTTTCAGCTGTCCTTAAGCCTGGGGTACTGGAAGCAACAAGAGTCACCTCCTCCTCCTCCTTCACGCTTCATTCTTTTCCTGCCTGTTAGGAAACAAAGGCATTTAGGAAGAGATTTCACACTCAGGGGAGAATTAGGAGAATTCACCCATATTACCCTGCAATCCTTATCTTGTTTAACAGCAAGCCTTCAATGTGGACAGCAGACTCTATGGAGCTTAAGCTAATATTTGAAAAGATTTCTGTCCTTTGTAGTCATCCACGCAAAATGGTGCCACCACAGTGAGTGTTCATGAAGACCTCTGTGTCTTTGCTGAAGAATGCCGTGGTATTTTTAAGTAAGGTTTCCTTGATCTGAGAACTCAAGGTGATGCAAATGATGTGCTTATTAAGGTACAGCTGCACTTAAAGCTAAGGACTTTGATGGATTTAACTATACTAGATTTTGTCACAAGGTAGTTTGGAAAAATAGTGTGCAGACCAGACATTACTGTTTATTGTCTTACCAGATCCAGCACAGCTCACCTCCGAGCTTTGCCCTCTCATCAGGAAGCAAACAGTACTGCACTTCTGCTGTTTGCTTACCAGTCATACTCCCTCCCCAAACAGCTTTATTATACTGTCGTTGGAACAGTGCTTTGCATCCGTTTTGAAATGTGCAGGGAATGCAACCTTGCACCGCTGCCATCTGGTACAGAGGGGCAGAGAAAGCAAAGTATCGGGGTATAGCACGGAAATGTCTACATTTGATGTAGATGGAGAGTGCTGCAAGAATGCTAACAGAACCTCAGCGCTTGTAAAGCTTCTCTCCTATTCTAGGACTACTACACGGACTATGTTTTTAAAAACGAAGGAAGTCTGAGGATATTTGCTTTTCAGCCCTGTATCCTGAAGCATAATGAACTTTATTGTGCTCATGTCTCAGTACTTCCTCCCATAGCAAAACTGTGGAACAAATGATCATATTTGTAGTTCTACTCAGATGGCTACAGCTGTAGAGAGAAAAACTGCTAGTTATATATATATATTTTTTTTGTAAAGATAAAAATATCTGCAGTCTGTGCGGTAATTTGGTGAAGGTGTAGAAAGGTAGACATTGTGAACAAAGAGAAGAAAAATGAGCAGATGAAAATCACAGTACGTATGTTGAAATTTATTCCCCATTCATGAGGAGGATGAGCGTTAGCACCCTGTATTTCTAGATAAGCTTTCTACATCTTTATCATGCACCAGATGAAGCACTGAAGAACAGATACTTAAGGTACACCTACACCATAGATCCAGCAAGGTTACTTTTTAGCCCAGCAGAACTTCAGCATGAGCAGATTTAGTCTTTCACACCAAATACAGGCATATTATTCTTCAGAAATAGTTACGTTTTGGGCAAGTATTTTTAGATGCGGTTCTGTTTCAGGTGCACATACTTCAGTGAAAGACAGGGAAAGGCAAGTGTGGCTACTCCTTACCTAGACTGGCAAGCTTGTTAGCATGAAGAGATGAGAAGGCATGGCATGTATTTTTTTCTTCATTACTGATATCATGCAATCTGATTTCATAAAATTATTTTATTTCTGTGATTCTCCAGTTTCACAAAATATGGAACAGTCACAGCTATAAACTCAGCAGAAAAATCTCCAGTTTGTACGCTTTAAAAATATGAGCACTGACTGCAGAATACTGTATAGACTTTGACATTTGCTTCACAACTGATTTTGACTTCTCAAAACACTCTCACTTCTATTAAATTTGGTGTGGGGTAAATGCATGGGGAACAAATAATATTTTGCATTTGTGCAATACTTCCTGGAATTGTGTAACCATAATCCACTTACCTGCAGTTAGGTTCACCTTTGTGCCCCAGGGAGAGCAACATGCTGGTACCAGTATACAGCAGGATAGTAAATTTTAGTCAAGACACTCAGGGGAACCCTGAGTGCTGTGGAGGGGGCTCTGTGTAAAGTGAGACTGCACACAGAAAGGCTCACGTGAATATAAACTAACTGCAAACTTCATGGAATGCAAACAATTTTTTTGCAGGAAAAAGAGTTAGGAAGAAGCTAGTAGACTTAAAAGGCTGGCTGCAAGAAACCCAAAGCATCCAGACTATACAAAGGGTATTTTACAAGTCGTTAAGAGAAATTCAGTGCTGTTTGCGGTCTGCTTGAAATTCCTTTGGGATTAGTCAGTGTCTTAAAACCGTGTGTTTTCCTGGAGGAGGCATTTAAAAAGAAAGGAGTATTTCCCCTCAGCTGCCCTTTTTACCTGTTGTCTACATGTGAACATCCAGTTCACAGGTTACTCCTCAAGTCCTCTGAGTGCTATTAATGTTTCTGCAGTGCTGACAAAGCGCTGCAACGTGATGAGAACAGCAAGTTGGTAACTCTGAAAAGAAAACTCCCCCCACGTTTCCTAATTCTGCGTAAAAAAAAAAAAAATATAGAGCGTAACTTCTTGAACTAAGCAAACTCGTGAACTGCTCCTTCCTGGGACTCCGTGCCCCGCTC